TATAATTATAATTCTGGCTATTGTGGTACAATATGTTGAAAGTATATATAAATGTCTGATAGTATACATATGTGACAATAATCATATGTGTATAATAACAGTAGAAGTATGACTAATGGAAACAGCAGCAGCAGGAGGCATCTGGCAGGACCACGGCAGCAGCACAACCACACGTCACACTATCCAGGCACCGCTGCGATATGAGTTAACCTGCGAGACAGTGGAGCACAAACGCTCTGGAGAAGAAGCCGAGTTAGTGACATGCAGTATGGCCGAGTTAGCAAGATGCAGTAACAGGACATGAGAGAGAGAGAGAAGGAGAGAAGGTGCCCAGTGTATTATAGGGGGTCCCCCGGCAGACTAGGCCTAAATCAGCCTAACTAGAGGCTGGTACAAGGCAAGCCTGAGCCAGCCCTAACTATAAGCTTTATCAAAGAGGAAAGTCTTAAGTCTAGTCTTAAATGTGGAGACGGTGTCTGCCTCCTGGACCGCAACAGGAAGATGATTCCACAGGAGAGGAGCCTGATAGCTGAAGGCTCTGGCTCCTGATCTACTTTTGGAGACTTTAGGGACCACAAGTAACCCTACATTCTTAGAGCGCAGTGTTCTGGTGGGATAATATGGCACTATGAGCTCTCTAAGATATGACAGAGCGTGACCATTTAGAGCTTTATAAGTTAATAGTAGGATTTTAAATTCAATTCTGGATTTTACAGGGAGCCAGTGCAGAGAAGCTAAAACAGGAGAAATATGATCTTGTTTCTTAGTTCCTGTCAATACACGTGCCACTGCATTCTGAATTAGCTGGAGAGTTACCTGATTTATTAGAGCTACCTGATAATAGGGAGTTACAGTAATCCAGCCCAGAGGTAACAAAAGCGTGGACCAAATTTTCTGCATCTTTTCGGGTCAGGATAGGCCTAATTTTTGCAGTATTACGCATATGAAAAAATGCAGTCCATGAGGTTTGTTTTAAATGAGAATTAAAAGACAAATCTTGATCAAATATTACTCCAAGGTTTCTTACGGTAGTGCTAGAGGCCAGAGCAATGCCAGCTATTTGACGACTGGGGATGAGAACGTGTTGGAAATTCAGTCCATGTGGGAAGTGAGGGTTTTGTGGTGTGTTCTCCATGTCCACAGCGACCGAGGTCTGTTTTAATGAGCTGGGCTGCTTTGGTGACCTTCCTCCCTGGGGAGGCACTACTCAGAGACCAGCTACCATCCTACCCTGGCACCCTGACGAGATTGACACCCGCTTCCTCCTCTTCACCCAAAAGAACCGTTACTACCAGGCAAGGAGAGGTTATATTTATCTTTTTATTTTTTGCTTGGAACTGTCTTATCACAGACATGTATGTGAAAACCATGTGTGCATCCACTGTGAAGATACAAGTAAATTAATTAATGAAAGGGTTCACATTTGTTCAAATCTGTTTTGAAATAATACTCACATGCCCAAATGTACATTAAAGGGGGTTACCGGTCACTGAAATTTCTCTTGTCAATATTGGCCCCAAAGAGTCACCTCACAAAGTGATGGCAACAAAAGTGTATGGGGACAAAATCAGTTTCCCTCTGTACAAAAATACATTCCTGAATTCAAAAAGTCAAGACTTCAGCAGTCTGATTTAGACAAACCAAGTGGGTTTTATTCAAAGCTACAATTTTCTTTTCTGTTATTTAAATTTATCGTGCTTTTACAGGAGTGAGAGCTGTGATGAACCTTATGACCTGTGGCAGAGGGACAGTAACACGAAGAGGGACACATGTTCTAAAGAGACCACAAGTTGGGAAGACTTTGCTTGTGTTGGGGTTTACTAATGGCAGGTTGGTTATTGATTATTAATTACTAATTGTAATTAATTGAGAAAATTCCAGGGCACCATCCTGGGATCAGGGATCAATGACCAACCTGTATTTAGTCAAAAAGGGGAATCTTCATCTAAGTTTGTATATGTAAAATATTAACAATCAAATAGGTTAGAAGGTGTGAACCTGAGCACTGACAATCTCAACCAGCTGTTGATACAACAAACAATGCACAAATAACCACAGAGAATTGCTCTAATGAAGTCACAAATGTTTATTAAGGCAATAATTAATAAACCAATCAAGAACTTGAATTAATAAACACACTAGACTAATGAACAACTAACTAGAAGCAGCAAATCAAACCATGCAAGTGGATTTGTGCGTGTGTGTATGTGTGAGAGAGTGTGTTTGAGGGGGAGAGGCACGAGAGAGAGAGAGACAAAAGTGGCAGTGACCTTGTGGGGGTCACACTACCACAGACCTAAAAGGGCGGATGCAAACACATCACGCCAGGGGTTGATATGACTAAGGCGGAATTTATACTTCTGTACTGAGTTGACACCATAGCTACAGCATAGGCTCTGCCTTGAGGGAATTTCTTACAATTTGGCACAAATATTCACTTGGACTCAACAGTGAACTGATTGGATTTTGGTGTTCAAAGGTCAGTGTGACCTTGCATCTGTTTAATTCTTGTGAACAAGATATCTCAAGAACATCTTAAGAGAATTTCTTTAAATTTGACACAAATGTCCACTTGGACTTGAGAATAAACTAATTACAATTTTGTGGTCAAAGGTCAAAGTCAGTGTGACCTCACAAACTATGTTTTTGGCTATAACTCAATAATCTATATGCTAATTATGACAAAACTTCACATAAATGTCATTTTATATCCAAAAGGTCAAAGGTCAACTTCACTGTGACATCATAACGTTCTGCATAAAACACATTTCAGTCCATTATTCAACATATCTCAGGAACAAAAAGGGAAATATTTGGATAGATACTGAACTGGTGACACTGGGTATCCTCCTTGAAACTGTGCAGATTGTATAGCTGTTCTCTGCAGTGTGTGCAGTGTATTGGTTTATTTCAGACATGGATGTAAACTGCAAGAGAAGCTTGATTGGTGTGCAAAGGCATGCAACTGCAGGGCAGTTATTCTAGTTTTTATTTAAAACAAGGCTGTGGATTTTATCATAGGTCACTTTTGTTGAAACTGCTTAAAGAAGAAATCTCTTTGCACCCACTATGGACATAAACAATTACAACAGATAATACTTTTAATGTACATATCTACATGTGAGTATTGTATTAAGACAGACTTGGGAAAAAAGTAAACCTATCATTTTGGCTCTCAATGTGTTCATCATGGCTTTTATATTGAAACTGTCAGGAGATCAAGACTGACAAAACCATCCAGGCATCAAACTACGGCGGGATGAGAAAGACGCAGTTCATCATTCCTGGTTTTCTGAAAAAAGAAGATGAGGACTGGCCACAGGAGACGTGTAAGGTAGGGAGGCACATGTTGAAAAACTCCTTCACTGACGATCTTTGAGAAATACTAGATGTGAAGAACACACAATAGCAGTTTGTTCAAGGGGCTTCATAAAAAATAAATAATTAGGTGTGTTACACTGTGTGTTACTGAAACTTGTAACTTTGAATTAGACTCTGACCTTCAAGACATTTAATTGAAAAAACAACACCACATTTAATTTTTATTTTCTTGTAGGGCTAGATTTAATCTAGTCTCGTCAAAGACATGGTAATGTCAATTTTCTTAAGCCCTTTTTAGATAGGAATTGTGCAAATATGCAGGAAAGCCCAATCAGTCTTTTTTCAGCATTGGCAGTATAAAAACAAAATCCGGGAGTGAGGCAAAATGCCGCCTTCCTATTTTTGTTTATACAGAATTTTTTTTCGGGGCAATGGGGGGCGTGTAGCTCAGCGTGTGACGTAACCAGTGACGTGGGAGGGAAGCTGCAGCTAGTCAGTCCTTCGGCGATTCTCTTGTAAGTCTGCCCATTCCTCACCTTTCCCGTCATCTGATGGTTAATAACCTCTTCGTTTGCAAGGGCAAGGAAGCTGCGCAATTCCTTGTCTCCCCAGTTGGTCATCTTTACAGTGTCTGTCAGGTTTGCGTTTCCCTATTGCTACTAGCTGCTCGCTAATTCCTGCTATCAGCTGTTTCCTGTTTATCCACCGCCAGTGGCTTGCACGTGCGGTGTCATCAACAGCTCCTCCCACAAGTCTTCAACAGCCCCTCCCATTGCAGAAGGCTGCCTCGGTCTGTTTAAACTTAAAGGGTTCCACCAATATGACTACCCTACGAGGGAGAAAATTGGGCACCTCAGATCCACTCACCAATCCGGCTCTGTGTATCTAAATGCCCGCAGCTTGCTGGCCAAATGGCCCAACATTCGCGGAAAATCTGGCAGCGTAAAAGGGGCTTTAGAAAAGGAAAGAAGCATTTTGGACTTTCAATTTCAAAAGTTTATTTCCAGGAGGCATGAATGAAGAATTCTCAATTAATTACTTTTTCTAGTGGTTCTCAAATATCTCTCATTTATGTGATTTTGTAGTGGTTCTCTTATGACTCTACATATAGCACCTTATCAAAAGGTTTTCTTAAATTGGTGTTTTTTTTCATTAAAATTGTTTTTGAAATGTGTGTCAGGCCAAATAGGCACATTTTGGGTTTGAGCTTCTCCTGTGCATCACAAGTGCTACCTTTAATTTGTACAGCTTCAGTCTGTGAAACAAAATGGTGTCACCCAGGTCTCTCATTTGACATGCTTCTTTGCCAGTCTGGGACAATGACTGGCTTGGAGCCACATGACCATATACCCACCCCACCTTTGCAGATACACATTTGACCATTGTGTGTATGTATATGACTGGTTGTTTTTAATTTTTTTCATTTCTTCATCTAAATGCTGTTTGTGATGTGTTTCATGATGACCTTGATGAAGGCCACAAGCCAAAATGTGTTGGTCTTGCAGTAAAGTTGTTCTTAACACTACAAATGTTACTGGAGTTTCAACAGCTCTGGCCTTTAGGGCTGTAATACCCACTTTATTCTGTAGATGTGATGATTCAAGAACATTACTATATCTTTTCAGAATAATTTAACTGAACTTGAACTACACACTCAACCTATGCAGCAGAGACTGAGTAAAAAGTTCAAGTTAAACTAATTGATTCTAAGAATATATAGTGAAATGTCACACATACTCTAAACACATACAGTCAGGTCCATAATTATTTGGACAATGATACAGTTGTCGTCATTTTGGCTCTGTACACCACCACAATGGGTTTTAAATGAAACAATGAATACCTGCTTAAAGTGCAGACTCTCAGCTTTCATTTAAGGCTTTTTTCAAAAATGTAGTATGAACCATGTAGGAAT